CCCCCGGATGCCCGGTTTTAGGGTTCCGCTGGCCAGCGCCAGTAGCGCCCGCGGTGCACGCCCAGACACGGCGCTGGGTTTGCGCAGAGACCTCTGGGTTTGGCCATCTCCCTAGAAGTCGAAATCGCTAGAAATGGCCCCCCGGAATGAAAGGCCGAAGCCCAGGAGAGCGGACCCCTGACCCCGACGCGTGGGGCGCTGCACCAGCACTCGGGCTCTGGGCTGTGTCCTGACCTGCCGCTGTTGCTGGGCGCTTTTCTCTGAGCCAGGTTTCCGGGAGCCAGGTGGCTCGTGCCAGGCAGAGAGCGGAGGTTTGGGGGTGCGGCGGTCGTAGGGAGGAATGTCAGGCTAGCAGCGCTGGGGCTGTGAAAGGGGAGTTGTGTTCCTTGCAGGGGGTTGGGAATGGTTTTCAGCCGGCCAGGTCGTGGGTGCCGGTCGCTGTCGCTGTTTATAATGCCTGCGGTAGCTGGGTGCGCTATTGCCTGGCTTGATGACACATTGCTGCCTCCTTCCGCGATGTCTGTCTGAGCCGCCCACAGTAGAGAGGAGGAGAGGGCTGTTGAATGTTGACAGCTGGCTTTCTTCTCTTCCCTCGTGTCCCTGGGAGAAGGGCGTGTCTGGCCTGCTAGGTAGCTCCCCCCAATGCTAGAGCACTGCTTCCTTTTGGGGACACTGACTCCCTGGGTCTGTCAACCGGCCCCCTCCTGCAGCTCATGTGGGAATGGCTCTGAGTGAGAGAACAGAAGCCTGAACTTTGTCAGTGGCCAGAGGCAGAACACCAGATGGAGCACTCGCCCTGTGATTCCTGCCATCGTATGGACTGATGCCCCAGCTCTCCTCTCCCTGGCTCTCCCCACGGCTGCGGGGAGAGGTAGCGAGGAGACTCTTCCCGTCCCTGACGCCCTGTGCAGAAACCATGCAATTGGCTGCTGCTGATCCTCGGTCTCCTCCGCGGGCCTAGGGCCCAGCCTGCGAGCCTGACGCAGCGGAGTGGTGCCCTGAAAACTCTCCTGTTGCAGGGCGAGATTGTGTGGTCCCCAAAAGGCCCCGCTGCAGGGACTGCGATTGAACTGGTTCCTCAGCCAAAGTGAAGGAAGGGGCCTGAGGGATCGTGCCCACTTGGCTGGCTCGAATCCATCTTACTGGGTTTGCCTTTGTTCTGCTGCCAGCGCACAGGGTGGCATGACTCCTCCACCAGCCTGAGACCCGGCATGCCTGGCTGCCCTTTCCCGAAGTGTCTCTCCCTGTTGCTGGTCCATGTGGTGCACTCCGAACTGTTCTCATTTGTGTTACCTTAGCACCTCGGCGCTCAGGCGTGGGCATCACTGTGCTCTGTGCACAACCCAGAAGCACCCTTGCCCCCGGCGTTGGGGGTGAAGCGTAACGCGAGAGAACAGGTGGATGCAGACCCGGGGGATGCGGGTCAGGAGCCCGTTGTCCAGCACCCTGGGTGGAGCGGTTTGTAGGCAGCATGGCGGAGGCGCGCTCTGAGGAGGGATCTGAAGGAGAAGGCATCGTTTTGTGTGCTGCCAACCTCCCACGCCGGCGGGGCAGCGCGAGAGAAAGCACACAGGGTTTGAACGTGTAACAAGCGGGCGGTGGGTTCCGGGATGGGGGGACTGATCTAAGGCGAGCCACGACGAGCGAGAGCTGCTAGGCAGGGTAGGGACTGCCGGAGAAGAGCCTTGAAAGTGAACGCCAGCAGCTCGTGTGTGCTGCCCTGCAGAAGGGACAGCCAGGGATTCCCAGAGAGGGATGACCTAAGGAAAGGGTCTCTGCAGCAGCCTTGCTAACCAGCCGGGGCGGCCCTAGACGAGCTGCCAGCAACTGGCGCCCCCGGCGCCCCATCCAATCGGCGCCCCCACCTCCAAACCCCTCTATAGACGCCAGCCGCCCCTGCTAACAGTGCGCTCTTTGGTGTGCTGTGTCTTGAGTGAGGTGGGGATACCGACTGTCCTGGCTAGTGGGCGTGCTCTCTGAAGGCTGGATGCAAAACCTTCCCCGACAGGCACGTTATGTCCTCCCTGGCTAGAGTCAACCCAGGAGCTTCCTGTACACTACAGGTTATTTGTGCTGCATTGCTCCAATTCAGATTGTAGGCCCCTCGGAGGGGCCTTCGGTGCGTCTGCCTGTGAAATGCCAAGCAACAGCAATCAACACAGGGAAGACCTTGAAAAATAGTATCCAAGTGCCACCTACCCCAGCTGCTTTCCTGCTGGTGGCCCTTGGCCCCTTTCACCTCCTGATGGTTGTGGTCCCCTTGCCCACCTTTCCAGAGGTCTAGTTCATGGGGTAGAGGTGTCCTGGTGCTTTGGTAGGCTAGGAGACTGGGAGCACCATGCATACAGTGTGCACCTCCTCTGTTGACTCCTGAGAGCCAGCTAAGGGGCGGGCTGGGGGGGTCAAAGAAGCCCTGAGCTGCTGTCCCAATGTCTAACAGTGTGGCCCACGAGTGCTCCATGCTTTGGGGTGTTGGCATCTCTGCCTCCTGCTGGTGCTGGCTGCTTCCCTCTCTTGTGCCAGGAGGAGACTGTGACCTGTCGGTTTAACTCCCCTGAGGAGCTGGTGCCGTGGCAGAGAGGGCACCTGACAGTCTGAAAGAGCCTGGGGGAAGAGGGCAGACCGGGTGCTTCAGGGCATGAGAACAAACGTGTCCACGGACCCTCTTTGCCTGAGGCTGCTACTGGGGGCATCTTTCCAGCCCAGAGCCCCAGGTCATGGGATCTGTGCTGTGCAGCCTCTGCTCTGACCCCGGGGCCTCTGGTAACTTCGGGTGAGCTTAGCAGGAGAAGGCAGCAGATACCATGAGCGTCAGTAGATTCCACAGCAGATTAACACTAACAGCGCTGAAGAAATTCTCATCAAGCTGCCTGCCCTGCAGTGGAGAAGGGTGGGGGGAGGGGCTTTATGGTCTGACACCCTGGGGGCAGCGATAAGAAGGGTGCCAGACCCAGACTTATCGCTTGCTAGGTCCCGGGTCACCGGCAGCGCCCCTCTGCACAGACCTCTGCCCGTCACTGGCCCTGGTTACGCAGGGGGCATGCTAAGGCCGGAAATGGGTCACGCCCGATCTCCAATACGCTTTGCCTGCTTCCTGACTGAGCTCTGCGAGGAATAGCCCTTCCGATTCTCCCCGGGGTAGGGCAGATCACCACATGCAGAAACTTCCCGTGTCAGGCCCATGAATGTCTGTTCAGCAGAAACTTGTGGTGTAGGCGGCCTGGGAGGCACTGCCAGTGTGCCAGGGCCTCGAGGCCTCCGGCTCGTTCTTAGCTGTGTCCCAATTGACAGTGGGCTACAGGCCAGTCGGGGCTTTGCTGCATTATGCGCGTTGTACTAGCGTCTGTTCCCGTTTCCTGGGAATTGGGAAGCTTTATTTCCATTTTGCAAGCAGGGCCAACTCAATCGAGATGCCAAATGAATTGCCTGGGGCCGCTGAGGGAGTCGGTGTCGGAATGGGAGTAGAACTCAGCAGGTCTGGGCGTTGAACCACGTGAGCGCTCAGGGTCACAGAATTCCCAGGGGCCTCTGAATGAGCCGGGGGAGAATAACATGCGAAGGGTGCTAAAATGCAGTAGGAGCTGGACTGCCACCCAGTTCTTACTACGTTCAAACTGGAGAGCCACAGCGGGGTGTGCGCCACCCCAGGCCTGCTCGCACTGCCCCCAGGAGCTAGCCCCGCTGTGCCTCTGCCTTTTAAATGTAGTAGGAGCCTTCGGGCTCATCGCGTAGGCGGCTGCCCAGCCAGTCGCGATCACCCCCATAACATGCATGCGCTAAATGAGCTCCGGTAGCCGTGGCTCCCTCCCGTCAGTGTGTTCAGTGAGCTCACAGGCGGGGCTGGCTGACGAGGTGAGTGTACAATCGACACCCTGGCCCGTGCCTGCGGGCCCACTGTAATGAGGGCTGGGAAAGAGCCCCGCAAGGAGAGTCACGCCCTGGAACCTGGGCTTGCTCTGGGGTTTTAATGAGTTCACAAAGACCCCAGTTCGGGCCGGCTAAGCTCCGCCCCCCACCAGAATGCCCCGGGTCGTGGTGCAGGTGGGCAAGTGGAGTGGGCAGCGGGCTGCTGAGTGTCTCTGCTACCCCCGTATCACTCTCTTCTAGGGGCCAGAAAATGAAGCTAAAGGAAATTGAGCGAACTGCTGTTCAGGTGTGGAGTCCAGCAAGCCACCACCCCATCTACCTAGCAACAGGTACAGAGCCTCATAGCCGTGGGAGTCACTGGAGAATGGAGGAGTGAGCCACGTGGGGGCGTAACCAGCCAGTAGGTGCAGAGACGCAGGCCCCCCTCGAAGGAGGGTAGATTCTCAGCCCTTTGCAGTGTAAAGGCCCCTGGCGGCGGCCGCTGTTGGAAGGAGGATCCTGGGCTACATGGACCATTGGTCTGACCGTTCTTATGTGCACGGCTGACCGCGTGTTAGAGCTGTAGTGCCGCATGCCTGGAAACGCGCTGGCAGTCTGAGCACTGCCGGCGGTGCAGTGTGATCGGGCGCTAGGCCTCAGGGCTTGCTTTTCACCAGGGCGCGAGACGCCGTGGGCGGGACCCCTTTCAGTATGGTCACCTTCACTTGCTCTTCAGCCCCCTGCCTTTGGGTTATGTGCACGGCTGACCGCGTGTTAGAGCTGTAGTGCCGCATGCCTGGAAACGCGCTGGCAGTCTGAGCACTGCCGGCGGTGCAGTGTGATCGGGCGCTAGGCCTCAGGGCTTGCTTTTCACCAGGGCGCGAGACGCCGTGGGCGGGACCCCTTTCAGTATGGTCACCTTCACTTGCTCTTCAGCCCCCTGCCTTTGGGCAGGAAGCTGTTGGCAATGGAATTTCCAGCTGGTTCCGTTGGCTTCGTTCCGCCCCCAAACGTCGGCTCCATTTAACACTTAGCAACATCCCTTTAATAGCTGAATGGCAGAGTTTGCAAATTCCGGGGATTAGCAGAGGTGTGGGCTCGTGGAAATGGGGAGCTGATGACCTGACCGCACTAGGCAAACTGCCCCCTGTCTAGAGCAGTGCTGGGCACCCATTCTGTCCTGCTTTCTGCCCGCTCGCTGGCACACGCTGCCTTCCGCTCTGGCCACCAGCTCTGAAGGCAGCGGTGCAGGCGTAAGGGTGGCAGGCGTGGTCTGGCCGGACGCAGCCTTCAGAGCTGGGTGCCAAGCAGCCCCTCAGCACTGAGGGCAGCACGGAAGTAAGGGTGGCGATGCTGCAACCCCCTACAATAACCTTCTGACCCCTGCACCCCCCTTTGGGTCAGGAGCACCACTGGTCTCCCCTAGGACGTCCGTATCGGGTAGGGGCACGCACACGAAAGACCAGGTCTCCCAGTCTGGGGCACGTTTTTCATGAGCGTGAATTTAGTAGGGCCTAGCAATAGAACATCCTTGTGCTTGCACGGGAACGCTACCCGAGGAGGGCCTAGCAATAGCAGGACGTCCTTGGGCTTGCACGGGAACGCTACCCGAGGAGGGCCTAGCAATAGCAGGACGTCCTTGGGCTTGCACGGGAACGCTACCCGAGGAGGGCCTAGCAATAGCAGGACGTCCTTGGGCTTGCACGGGAACGCTACCCGAGGAGGGCCTAGCAATAGCAGGACGTCCTTGGGCTTGCACGGGAACGCTACCCGAGGAGGGCCTAGCAATAGCAGGACGTCCTTGGGCTTGCACGGGAACGCTACCCGAGGAGGGCCTAGCAATAGCAGGACGTCCTTGGGCTTGCACGGGAACGCTACCCGAGGAGGGCCTAGCAATAGCAGGACGTCCTTGGGCTTGCACGGGAACGCTACCCGAGGAGGGCCTAGCAATAGCAGGACGTCCTTGGGCTTGCACGGGAACGCTACCCGAGGAGGGCCTAGCAATAGCAGGACGTCCTTGGGCTTGCACGGGAACGCTACCCGAGGAGGGCCTAGCAATAGCAGGACGTCCTTGGGCTTGCACGGGAACGCTACCCGAGGAGGGCCTAGCAATAGCAGGACGTCCTTGGGCTTGCACGGGAACGCTACCCGAGGAGGGCCTAGCAATAGCAGGACGTCCTTGGGCTTGCACGGGAACGCTACCCGAGGAGGGCCTAGCAATAGCAGGACGTCCTTGGGCTTGCACGGGAACGCTACCCGAGGAGGGCCTAGCAATAGCAGGACGTCCTTGGGCTTGCACGGGAACGCTACCCGAGGAGGGCCTAGCAATAGCAGGACGTCCTTGGGCTTGCACGGGAACGCTACCCGAGGAGGGCCTAGCAATAGCAGGACGTCCTTGGGCTTGCACGGGAACGCTACCCGAGGAGGGCCTAGCAATAGCAGGACGTCCTTGGGCTTGCACGGGAACGCTACCCGAGGAGGGCCTAGCAATAGCAGGCCGTCCTTGTGCTTGCACGGGAACGCTACACAAGGAAATTACTAGCACGGCATGAGCAGCCGACTGTCTGGGGTGCCGGCGAGGGTGTGAGATGCCCAGTGATGGCACCGCTGGCGTGGGTTACGTCTGGATGGTCTGACCAAGCGCTGTGAACACGGCTGAGGTCCAGTCTCCAGTACAGACTGCAGTCCACGCCCTTGAGATAGCTGCCTTAGTGCTGAAGACAGGACCTTTGTGGGTGAGGCTGGAGTGTTCCAGGGA